ATATTCTAAGAGCACTTTTTAGGACCTTTATAACTAAAAATCAAAAAATATATCTTATCGTTTACGAGGTAAATAGTATAACCAGTAGCAACTCGTGAAAATTATAATTTCATACATTTGCTTCCCTGTAGATCTTTCAACTGGAAGAAAACCCAAAAAGCTTTCATTAATAATTTTAATTTCAACCTAATCTCAATTGCAATCAGTCATTTGCTCCACCTTAGAAATATCAGGAGTGCCATCTAAAATTACCAAATAATATATGGCTTTTTTATTTCATTAATAATATAAGATTTCATACTTTGATGCAATAGGTCTATTATCTCGTTTTGAATATTTTTTTCTCAAGATAGTGAGCTGTTGTTTCTTCTTTTTTAAGCACCCTACGAACTTGTTCTTTTATGATGGGATCAAATTCAGATATTAGCTCAACTATTTTTAAGAAGTTGGAGCCTTGGAGCGGGCTGAACTGAAATTGTTAACAGTTAAAAACAGAATACTAAAGTAAAGGTTACTATATTTCTAATAGTAGCTTTCAGGGGCGGTTTCTCCATTGGTTCATTTGTGCAGTGAACACCCAGTTCAATTTCATAAAGACACATTATTTTAAAATTACATAAATAACATAAAAATATAAATTTAATTTTAATATTTTTATTTTCATACGTGTTAATCTATATTTTTTGGTACATCATTGCTTTCTGGCTGATCGCGTCTCTGTGGCACAATATACCTAAGTAAACCTTGTCTGTGGCGCATTATGATGAGTGAGCCTAACACGAGTGAGATGATTTAACGAATACATATAGCTAAAAAGAGATGAAAACACGCCAACAGATCCTTCAAACTGTCAAAGAACAAATTAATTGGCGCGCCGCTCACAAACAAGTTTGCCAAACCAGTGTTGCCAGTCTAGTACAATTCACAATTGTACTAGATGTAGTACATTCTGCATGCATCAGTGTTCACGTGTAAAATATATGTATATATTGTGTTCCTTGTTTGGGTTCGTTATCAATAAAGATCCCCTTTTTCCCTCTTCAATGAATTTAGATGTCACTGCAAATAGAATTCGAAAAATCTGGTACATTTAAGGAATCTGGTACATTTTTTAGACAAATCTGGTACATAACAAAAACATTCTGGCAACTATGTACCAAATCAAAGTACAAACTGTCAATGTCAATACTGTCATTCCATCGATTTTAATAAAATTAAGATTATTTTATTTGTAATTATTTAAAAAAATGTGTTTAATTGAGAACTGCAATTTTAATAAATTGGAAGGATGTGTGTCAATGTAATTATTGTTCAAGAAAAACTTTTAAGGCAAGGTAAATAAATAAAATATTTTAAGGTTATATTTTGTTTATTTACTTTATAATAAAGCAGTAATAAAGTTTTACGACTATAATTTGTTTTATATTTTGTTTCAGTATCTAGACTATCCAAAGACAACTTCAAAATGGTCTATTTTGTACACAATTGTAAATACTATGAAGTAAGAAGTAAACAAAAAATCTGTAAATTTTTTCCCACAAAATCTGCTAAAAGGAAAAATTAATTATTCTGATGAGGTAACTATTTGACATCATTATGGAAATGTACAATAAAAATTTGATTAAGATAAAGAGACAAATGGTTTTCACTTTAAAAGTCTAAATCAGAAGAATGGATCAGCCAATTAATTTAATATACTCCATAAATAGTTTACCTTTATAAAGTTATGTTTACAATTATCAATCGTGTTACCCTCTAACCAAGGTCGTTTTTTACATACAAACAAGAAATATTTTATTTTAATGACATTTTTTTATTGCCTTGTTTGTATAATTTAGTATTTTCAAAAATATTATTATGGTAATTAGAATCACTACAGGTATTAAATAAAAATAAGGGTATTGGTAAAGTAGTTTACAGTTGGTACTAAAGAATGTCTCGAAAAAAGTCTCGAAATAAGTATCAAACGTAAATTGTGATTTTGATTAGGCATTTAACAAGTCACATCCCACATCTACATGCTCTGGCTAATCAATCCTATAAGTACATATCAAAACATTAATATACTATCTATAATTAAACAATAATTTAAAAATACAGATGAAGCCGATTTACCTATTTAAACAAAATTGTTATTATTCTATTATTTATTACAACACATTATTTTTTAGTAAACTTGGACATGCAAAAGCAGCCATGAGGGTAGGACATTAGTGAAAGCAAGAATACTTTGGAATGTTCTGTGAAATACACTTAGAAAGTGTCATATGGAGAATTAAGTGTGATAACATTTTACGATATGCATCTCACTAGTTTAGTTCACAGATTTCTGTGTTCTGTGTTCAATTATGTGCTGCTATTTCAAACTTTTAGTATCCTTTTATAAAAGAAGTTGAATATTATTGTTGACCTTTTTAAATTGTTTATTTTACCTCATACATTTTTTTTATACTCTTCATACAGTATTCTGTGAAGAGTATTATAGATTTATTTTGTCTGTCTGTCCGATGTCAGGTTTTTTGTCTACACGATAAGTCAAAAACGAGAAATGAAATCAACTTGAAAATTTTAAGCAAAAATCAAGCTCTATAAGAGGACAAAGCTTATTGATTTTTAACAAATCTGATTAAAAATAGGGGGTTAAGATGGGTTGAAATTAAAAAAATCCTAAATTAAAAACGAAAAGCGATATCAACATGAAATTTTTAGTAAAAATTAAGCTTTATAAGAAGATAAAGCCTATTGATACTGAAAAAAATATAAATATATGGGGGAATTAAGGGGGGTTAAAATATAAAAAAAATCCTAACTGAAAAATGATATAAACTTGAAATGTTTAGCAAACATCAATCTCTAAAAGCAGATGAGGCCTATTGATTGTGAAAACAATCTGGTTGAAAATGGGGGTTAAGGGGGTCTGTTAAACTACGAAGAGTATCCTCTAGAATGCCAGGCATTATATATCTTTATTCTAGTTTGTGTCTGTGTAATATGTATTGTGATGGGACTGATCTTATAAAATAAACATTTAAAACATTTTAGTTCTTATTTTATTTGTTAATAAAAGGTATTTAAAAAATATATTTTTTATTTGACATCTGTGACAAATTGTGAAAATGATTAAACTTACAATAAAAACTAAAAAATGGTAGGTAAAGTTTCTACATTACCTGATAGGTATATATTTAAAAATAATCTCAAATTATGAGGAAAAGTCAGTTTACTAACTAATAAAGTTTAAATTGTTTTCAACGTATTAAAAAAAAAAACAAATATTACACTAACTAAAATATTCATTTATTAATAGTTGTAATGCTTGAAAACAGTATGATGTTGATAATAATAATTACACTTAATACAAACTCAAATAATAAAAAAACAGTGATATTGACTTGTACAAGGTTTTGATCCGAACTTACAAATGATAAAATTATTGGAAAAAGTGAACACCCATTTCAAATTACCACGAGCCGCCACTGAGTAGCTTTCTAATGTTAATGGATCTTTTCATAACATAGTTTTTACTTTCTTTTAACTATTAACCACTACATATTTTCTAAACTTAAAGTCTTTAAATTTCTTGCGTCATCCTTACAGCGGCGAAAGTTCATTTTATTAGCACCGTCCCTTTGATTTTGCGAAGAACATGTAAGCAGCACATTTTGTTGAAATGAAAGAAATTTACCTTATTATCTGAGCGTTTATTTTTTGTTTTACCTAACTGATGTTAATACCGAATTTCAAAAGAACTTTCTTTAAAACTTCAAAAACGTACAGAATTCGAAACGCTAAGAGCGCGGTTTATAGCGAGAAACAAAAAAGCACTTATAATGGCTTCATCTCGAGGGCACAATTAGAGAAAAACTTTCGCGTACCTCCCAACAATGAAATTGAAATTGCTACTCTAAATGTTTTATAAAAGTTTTCTTACATTTGTGTAAAATTGGTATAAACGTACCGAATGTCGTTGATGAAATGTAATAGGTTTTTCCCCGGTTTAATGCCGACTTCAAAGATTTAAATTTATTGCCAGCTAACCGGGCTGCCGCTCAGAACTTGGCAACGATATAAAACTTTGGAAAATGTTTTTTTATTACTATCAGTTAATATTTGAAAAGTTTTTACGTACCTGCCTGCAAAATTGTTTGAAGAAATAAATTTGTTTTCTTTTTATTTTAATTTGTGTAAAATTAAAAATACACTGTGTCTCAGATTGGTGCTGCATGTATGCAGGGCCCGCTCTAACCAGATTATTAAATACAATAAAAATTATGTTAAAATCAATTATTTAAAAAAATACATGTAATACATAATAAACATTTAAAAAGGGCAAAACTTAAAAGTACTTGTACATACATTCGGTGGTCTGATAAAATTAAAAATAATGTGATCAAAAATTTAATTTTATCTATTGAAATTTATATCAAACAAACCGGAAGATTTAAAGCTATAAAACAGTTAAAAAGTTAACTTAAATATTGCAATAATAAAGCAGATTTTGATCAATTTGTGTGTGCATTATTGGCAAAACTAGTTTTTCCTGATAGTCGTCAACGTTTTTTGGAGTAGAAGCCCAGATAAGTTGAACAGTAACGTAATATACCAGGTCAGTGAAATTAATACATTAAATGCTTTAGTCAAAATGTACGAAGAAAACATAACACTTAAAGACGTATACATTTTATTGAAAAGCGTAAAGCAGGATGTAACGGAACGTATAAAAAACCTAGAAATCACTTGAGGAAGAAAACAACATCCTAAAAATGAAGTTAGAAAGACAATAAAGAAAATTTAAGGAAAATAACTTGGTATTTTACGGAATTCCAGAAAAGAATATTGAAAATAAGTCAATTTTGACACAACATATTAAGAGTAATTAACAACCAAATAGGCGTACCCCTGAATCAAAGGGATATTAATAATTTTTATAGAATAGGTCGAAAATCTCAAAAACTAGATCACTGCTTTTATCACTTGCAACAAATTTATTAAAAACCGAAATGTTAATTAATGCAAAAAATCTTAAAGGAACAAATATAATTATTAGTGAAGATCTTACCAAAATTGAGTTAAAAGAGAGAAAAGTATTAGTAGTTGCACTAAAAGAAGCTAGAAATAATAATCAAAACGCAAAATTTAGAAGAAATAAAATAATAATAGAAGGAGTTGAATACACTGCAAGTGATATAGAAAAAACTATTACTGATGCTCAGTTATTTGATAATATACCAATTAGGAAAGTACATAGCGAGCCAACCACTCCTTCTCATAAAGAATTTGTTGAAGAAAGTGACGAAGAACTAGAAGAGCAAAAAAGTGAAGAGGAACCACGTCATAACTCGGACAACTCAAACCAAATAGTAATTCAAAAACCTAAAGGAAAACCGAAAAAGATAGGGATTATAAAACAAAATTCAACTATCCTACAGAAGCTTAAAATTAATTCAAAATGCGAGACACCAGGAAGAAAACTAGATGTGGCTCCAATTACAAAATTAAGTAAAACCAAAAAATAAACTACTTATATGTAAATATCAAATTATTTTTAACATTGATTTTAAATGTCCTTAGGTTTTAAATTTGATTTACAAATTCATATTATCCTTTTAAAATTTTTAGTCTTTAACGTTGATTTGCTATCTCATAAACTTTTAAATTTTATTTATAGCCATAGCGTTAAGTTTTATATCTAATTTAAAAAAAAAATTAATAACACATAATGGATCAGTATATTCGTGATTTTGAGATTAAAACTATTCAGACATATGATTTCGATAATGAAGTTGAACTTAATAAAGTCCTAAATGTCAATAACGAAAATATTAACTTTAAAATTCTAAATTTAAATATCTGCAATATTGGTAAAAACCTCGATGAATTTAATTTTTTTTTGCAGGAAATAGATGTTAACATGGACTGTGTAATTTTAACAGAGACAAGAGAAATGGTTGATCTAAGTCCACATAATCTACCAGATTAGGACTTAATCAAATCGATGGAGTGGCTATTTTCATTAAATCCAAATATAACTATACTTACGAAAATAAAGAAATAATTAACAATTTAAAAATAAATAACACAAAAATAGAGATAGGTGATTCTTATAAATTGTCAGTCTCTTCGGTTTATAATAGGTCACCAAATTCAGATGCCTTTAGCTTTGTCGAAAATTTATACTCCTTTTTGGAGAACCTTGCTAGTGACGATTATGATCTTTCCTTTTTTGTAGGGGATCTAAACATAGATTTTTTAAAACCAAATGAGCGTATATGTATGAAATATCTAAATACCTTAAGCGAATTTGGATTTGTATCTACTATTAATAATCTAACTAGGGTAAGAGGTAAGTCAAAGTCTTACATAGATCATATTTTTCCAAAGTGCAAATTGGATATATTTGATAATATTATACCGATTGTAGTAAAAAACCATATTACTGATCATTACTTAACCATAGTACAGGTTGTATTTAAGGAAAAGGAGATAAATCAAACAGTAAACAGATATTCCACTTTTATTAACCAAAATAAAATGCATAGGTAATATTTGGACTCCAGTGCATGAGGTAGAAGATCCCGATACAACAGCTAGTAAATTTATTAAAATAATACAAAATAGTATTAATCTCTGCACAAACAAGAGACAAATAAAACGTAAAAACAATAAAATAGCACCTTGGTTAACATCTTCTTTACTTAGATCTATAAATAAAAAAAAAATGAATTGCATGAAAAACTAATTAAAAAGCCAAATAATTTACAATTAACTGAAGAATATAAACAACATAGAAACAAAGTAAATTCCGTAATAAAAAAAAACTAAATTTAATCACTATAAAAATAAAATTGATATAAATAAAAATAACTCTAAACAATTATGGGACGTAATAAACGAAATAAGTGGGAAAAATAACAACTCTAAAAAAATTAAGTCAATAAAAAGTGAATCAGGAGAGGTTCTAATAAGAAAAAAAGAAATAGCAAATGAGTTTAATATCAGATTTGCCAAAGTAGGAAAAACGTTGGCTGAAAAAATTAAATTAGTTCCTAAATATAAAGAAAAAGGAAGACACATTTCGAACTCCTTTTTTATTTTAAATATAGAACCAAGAAAAGTCAGAGACATAATTAACAATTTAAAAGGTAATGAAGCAGTAGGTTGTGACGGTATTAAAGCTGAAGTAGTAAAACTATTAGTTCCGTATATATTGGAGCCATTAACATATATGTTTTAGACAAGTGTATTGAAGTGGGCTGCTTTCCTTCAATTTTCAAAACTGCATTAGTTGTACCGATGTTTAAGAAAGGTGAAAAAACGGACGTAAACAACTACAGACCTGTATCGTTAGTCACTCATGTGTTAAAAATCTTTGAACTATTACTAAAGGAAAAATTAATAAAATTTCTAACTAAATATGATATTTTATCTCATAATCAATATGGATTTAAATCAAATACGTCAACTGAGGACGCCATATTATTATCATTGACCACAAAAGTTACTGAAGCACTCAATGAAAACAAACCCTTTTTTAAATATTTTTATTGTTTTAAAAAAAAGCATTTGACATTGTGAGTCATCCTCTACTTTGTCAGTCTCTTAAGGATATTGGTATTAGAGGTACTTGTCTACAACTGTTCTCTAGTTATCTCACCGAAAGGTCTCAAAAAGTCAAAGTGAGCGAAGAAATCAGCATGGAGAAGGAAATAGCTCTGCCTTAGGACCTATACTCTTTAACATATATATAAATGGATTATTCCAATTGGCAAAATTATTGGATTCGTCGATGACACAGCCATCTTTTGCAAAGAAAATGATTGGCAACGTCTAAAATTAATAGCAAAGTCTGATTTTACTCTTATTTCAGAATGGTTACAGCACAAATTACTTACACTAAATATAGAAAAAACAAACTATTTACCTTTTAGTTGTAACTTAGTAGGACTTCCAAATTTTAAAAAAATTTGCATTGCTAGTGGAAGCAAAGAATTGATGTTTCTACCTGTTAAACTAATAAAATATTTAGGTATTATTATAGATCATCACTTAAAATGGAACTTAAATAAATTTTACACATTAAAAAAATTAAAGAAATCTTACCTCCACAACATTTAAGAAAACTGTATTAATTTGTACTATCCCAGCGACTGTTCTAAATAAATGCTCATCGTTATGAAACTTGAGAATTGCATAATTAAGACGGTGTGGGAATAAGGGCTCGTCTGGACCTTTCTCTAGCTGTTATTGTACCCTACATTCACCAGAAAATATTACTTAACACTTAACTGTTATACGAGTCATTAGTTGTGTACACCGCAAAAGGGGAGTGATTAGTATGGGCAAAAAGTTTATTTTCGGGTAGGCCTTTAGTTAAATTAAATTTCTGAGTCATTGGTGCTGTTGCGAAACACGACAGTAAATTATGTGATAAGCAAATTGGTAATTTTCGTGTTTAATGGTCTATGTATTGACTGCTTCAAGAAATTTTGTTTATGTCAGAATGTTCTTAATCTTACAAAATTAGTAGGTACAATAGTTATTTATGCAACAAGTGTTTAAAGTAATCCTTTTTTGACGAATGAGTCAAAAAAGGGACTTTACACACGAATTGCATACAACATTTTTTCTACTACCGGAAAGTTTGATCAAAAAATTAAGGTTTTACATACATTTTCTTCACGCACTAGTGTGTAAAGAAAGTTTAATTTTTCGTTCTAATTATAGCACTGGTTTGTAATAAAATATAATTAAACTAATTTAATATACATATATTCCCCAAATTAAAACAAATTAAGTAGATTAACTTAAGACTTAAATGTTATTATTTAGTTATTAATAATACAATGAATTAACTAGATCAATATGGAATTGAATATAAGTTAATTAATTATTAACAATATTAATGTGAAAAGTGCAGTTTGTGCACTTGTTAAAACTTAATCCTTTAGCTTATTCCATGCTAGAGTTTACTGTGGTTTCAGAAACTGATGACGTAGCATTACTTACAACATTCACATTAAGTACTAAGTTTTTTAAATTATTAAAGCTAAGGCTAGTTACTTCATAACATAAAGAATTGCTAATAACGTTGCTAACTTGCGTAGAAATAGAAGAGGACTTGAAAATGATGATGGTTCCGAGAACAGAAGACAGTTGGTCATTCCAAGAAGTAGAGTAGCTGAAGTACTCCGTCAGTTACACGACAGTCCATCAGGAGGACATCTCGGTGTTAGGAAAACCCTTCAGAGAGTTCGGGAAAGGTTTTACTGGATGAACAGTTCCGATGATGTAAAGGACTGGTGTAAGAAAGGTACCACCTGTGCTATGAGTAATGGACCTCAACGAAAAAGGAAGACTCGCATGAAGCAATACAACGTTGGTAGCCCATTTGAGAGGATCGCCTTAGATATTGCTGGACCATTCCCCGCGACCGAGGATGGTAATAAATACATTTTGGTGGTTATGGGTTATTTTACAAAGTGGGTGGACGTCTATGCCATTCCAAATCAAGAGGCCGCAACTGTTACAGATGTATTGATAAAAGAGTTTATCTGTCGATTTGGAGTGCCCTTGGAGATCCACAGTGACCAAGGCAGAAATTTTGAAAGTCAACTTTTCCGTGGAGTCTGTGACAGACTAGGCATGAAGAAAACCAGAACCACAGCATTGCACCCACAATCCGATGGAATGGTAGAGCGAATGAATAAGACCATTGGTAAATATCTGTCAAAAGTGGTTTCAAACCATCAGCGAGATTGGGATCAGTATCTTTCGCTCTTTGCAATGGCTTATAGATCCGCTGTCAATGAATCAACAGGCCAAACACCAGCAAAGGTTTTGTTTGGGCTGGTGAAGATTATGTGATCCAGTTACGAAGAAGAATGGACGATATGCATGAATTAGTTCGCTCGCATCTCCAAATCGCCAGCGACAGGATGAAGAAACGGTACGATTCTCAAGCTACGCAGGGATGTTTCAAGGAAGGCGACAAAGTCTGGCTCCATAACCCAAAAAGACAAAAGGGTTATTCTCCGAAGCTTCAGAGGTCTTGGGAAGGTCCGTACCTCATAAGGAATAAAATAAATAATGTATTTTACCGTATAAGTAAGATCCCAAACGGTAAACCAAAAGTAGTGCATCAAAATAGGTTGGCGCCATTTGAGGGTGACCATGAAGAAGAAGTAAACCAACTTCAAGAAACACCAGGCCTTGTCTTTGAAGAATTTATGGGTGCATATGGAGGTACTGGAAAAGCCAGATATGGTGTTACGACCGAGCAACAACAAGATATGCTCTCGCTTCCGAAAGACTACTCGCTGGTCCATAGTACTTCCGCCAGGATCAACGACGCGCGAGGACTGGCATATGTGTTCCGTAAGAAGTTTGGTCGACTGGTAGAACTTTAATGTCAGTTACCAGCCCCTGGAAAAGCCTTGAAACTTCAAGACGGGTCACGTTATCTTTTTTATTTAATAACAAAGAACACCTTCCAAGATCGATCCACCTATCAGGATGT